TATACAACAATCATTAGTTACTGGTATATGTTATAATACATGTACTTACTGTAGTCTCTCATGATAGCACTTCCTATATCAGCAGTGGCTGTAAATTTACATAAAATATTAGCAAATGCCTCAATTTTTTTATAATCTTTACAGACAGCTGCCTTTATTTCACCCAGTAGTTCTTCTCCTTGTTCATATTGTGGGGCGATACTCTCTTGTATAAGTTCTGCTCCACACAATTCTGTAACCAGCTGAGGTAATACAGAAAGTAGAGATTGGTTTAAGGTATAACGAGCAAAAATTCTACAAGCAGGATGAACTGAACAATAAATAAATCAGTAAATGATGCCGGTATTCATTTTTACATTAAACTCACTCTCCATATCTATTCTATCAGCTACTCCATTCTCTCCTAATTTCCTCAATGCTGATACCAATGAATAGATACTGGGACCACTTTTAGTCTTCTGTACATTATCAGCTTTCTGTAGCCATTTAGTAAGACACTGACGTAGACATCTCTCAGAATCTTCTTTACTATTCCTTCTAATAGCATCCAGTGTAGTAGAGGATAGACCAAGATAAAGACCAAGATTATAACTGACTCCTGAGTAACCATGTCTTCTGAGTAATTGAAGCACTTCAGGTAGATCAGTAACTATTAAATAATTTCATTTTGATAAAAGAAATAAACAATTAAATATAATTATGTATACTTGTCAGTTGATTTGCTACTGGTACAGAAGAAGAGAGAGAAGAAGCAAACTTAGAAGCCATTTATTGAACTGCACGGCTGGGCTGACAATGATCCGGCCAGATCATAGATGAATCCAGCCTGACGATGCGATCATAGATATTAGAGTAAATGAATTTCATTTACTCTAATATCTATGATGCGATATCGATATCGCAGCCCCACCCACTAAACTAATACAAGATGGCTACCATTAGACAATTGCTTTCAATTGGCTCCAGATTTACTCCTTCACGTATCTCTAGTATAACCACCACCCGCCATTATATTTCATCAATAAAAAGGATTGAAGATAAAAGGAATCAAGCTCATTTAGGAGGAGGAGAAGAAAGAATTAACAAACAACACAAAGGAGTAAATAAATTAAATAAAAATAATGTTTATTGTTTTTGTTGTTGTTTATTGTTGTTGTTTATTGCAGGGTAAACTGACAGGGAGAGAGAGGGTCCAGTTATTATTAGACGATGATTCATTCATTGAATATGATTCATTTGTTGAACACACTTGCACTGACTTTGATATGAATACTCCTAAAAATAAGGTAATTAATTAATGGGGTGTGGTTTTTATATTTTTATTATTAATAGATACCTGGTGACGGTGTGATAACCGGTCAAGGATTAATTAATGGACGTCCTGTCTTTGTATTTAGTCAAGTAATGAGTTAATTTATTATTATTATTATTATTATTATTATTATTATTGATAGGATTTCACAGTATTTGGTGGTAGTCTATCAAGTATGCATGCTCGTAAGATATGTAAGGTAATAATAATAATAATGAATATTAATGAACTAGAACAATATGTACATGTACAACATTTAATGGATGAAGCTATAGCAAATTGTTAATGATATTATACATTATATAGCACTGGATCTATGAACAGATAATGATAGATCCTGTACTATTATACAATGCTAAAATATCTATGCCATTTTAGTCACAATAGACATACATGTATTGAACAATAGACTCATTCTTCATTAGTAATGCATGTTAATAGTACAGTGTACTGGTATCTCTACTAATACTCATTAATGGAGTGTTACATTCAAGTACTGTATATGTAGACTGGCAGACACTCTTCAATGATGTTTGCTTGAGTGGGGCTCACCTATACTACCCTAATTAATTGTACTATTATTATTGTTATTATTATTATTATTGTTGTTGTTATTATTATTGTTATTATTATTATTAATAGATAATGGATAAAGCAGTATCAGTAGGTGCTCCCATTATTGGTCTCAATGACTCCGGAGGGGCCAGGATACAAGAAGGAGTGGACTCACTAGCTGGATACGCTGATATATTCCTAGTTAGTGTATTAGTATTAATATTAGTATTTGTTTGTTTGTTTGTTTGTTTGTTTATTTGTATATTTAATTATTTGTTTGTTTATTATTTACTTATAGCGTAATGTGATGTCCTCAGGAGTAGTCCCACAGATATCATTAATAATGGGACCGTGTGCAGGTAAAGTATAGTCTCTCTTAATGGACACTCTCTATAGCGTACACCTCCATTTAACGGACAGCACCTAGTGTACCAATTACATTCCTTACTGTATAAAATAACCTCCACATAAAGGACACCTCTGTATAACAGAGACACTTTCAAAGTGTCCATTATATAGAGGCTAGTCTATACATTATTACTGACATTGTTGTTTATTGTTGTTTGTTGTTTGTTGTTTGTGTAGGAGGTGCAGTATATTCTCCTGCTATTACTGATTTCACATTCATGGTTAAGGTATGCTGGGCGTGGTTAGTAGGTGTGGCTTTATCTGTTGCTAGGATACCTCATACATGTTTGTTACTGGCCCCAAAGTAGTCGAAGTAAGAAAAAATAAAAATAGATAAAATTTAAAAATTAATAAAATTGTATTACAGGAAGTGACTAACGAGGTTGTTTCGGATCAAGAACTGGGTGGGGCTTTGACACACACTAAGAAATCTGGTGATTATTAATTAACTGCGTGGGTGTTATTATTACCATTAACGAGTAGGTGTGGCCCATGGAGCATTTGAGAATGACATTGACGCACTATCACAGTTAGTATAATTAATTAATTTATTATTATTTTATTTATTTATTTATTTGTTTGTTTATTTTAAAGGTTGAGAGAGTTGATAGATTACCTTCCATTAAGTAATAAAGATCCAGTACCAATTAGACACACTGGCGATAAAATGTAAGTACATGTACATGTACATGTATATTAATATACCGTAGGACGACTAATTTTCGCGAATGCTAATAAAAATTTCCATGGAAACGGTTTAGATAGTTGCTATGGTGATTGACCACGTGTTTATACAATTACAGTGTTCAGCAGCTGATCAGCTATCTTTAGCAGCTTTAGTGGAGCCATCCAGCTCTCTTATCCCATTATATT